AAAGCCTGGCATTAGCCTTTTGATCAAACTGATTTATGACCGGTATTGCGTATAAACTGTAACACACACACATACTCGAGCAAAAGAAGCAGGATCAGTATGAAAGATAATTAGTCAGACCACTCTATATAAGATTCTATATAAGAGGTAAGATAGAGCCGGATAGTCTTCTTGCCCTAGTATTAGAGTGAGACTTTTACAGAAATGGAACCCAGCTTTAATGATGTCTATCATATGATGGACGAAATCATAGCCAGTTTTCACCCAAAACGAGGAAGGTTTCGTGGACTGCGTCAACCTGAGCGTCGTATTATAGCCAAACGGCTGAAGTACAACGGGATTCATCCGTCCTCTTGTGGTGAGATCGACCTACGAATCTCTTCTTCATGCACTTTCATACGAAATGAAAGTCCCCCCAACAATTTTATCTTAGGAGACTCAACGATACCTAGTTTATCTTCGTATCTTCATAACTTTAATCGAAATAAGGTAAATACAGCACTTATATCAGATCTACTTGTAGTCTCAAGAAAATTATTTATGTTTCAAGAAGTAAATAATGAATTTGCCAAATTGCTATACTACCAACACTCACTTGATTTTATTTAAAACACAAAAACAAATAAAAATTAAGGCAATTCTAAATTAAGCCCACCCGAAAAAAGAGAGAAATTGCTCTTAAATTTGGATTTAAAATTCAGGCACCGAAGTGTGACTTTAAAAATCACAAATTTGTAGCTCTGTCACAATGGCTAGATAAGAAAATAAGCTCAAAAATTATTATACAGAATATAAAATTTTATCATAATATTTTGAAATATGCCTGATATTCCTTTGCATTCATATCTGCTCTGTGATCCAAGAGGATTCAAGGTAGTGTCGTAGTGATTAACGTGCCAACATTATACTTTGCATTACCAGGATTAGAGTCCCGCAAGGAGAGCGGATGAAGCCTAAATGGGTTCGAAGAGGCAGTCTATCCTGAATGATAATACTTGTGAGAACCAAGTCTATTTGAAAAAAATATATTTATAGTAAATTGCTGTGAATAACGATCACTAACCTTTTGACTTGGCTTGCTCGTAAGCATTGAGGCGAATATTTCGACGTTCCGCCTTCCTAGCTGAAATGCTACTAATGGCACTGACTGGAGTCACACGTATAGGCAGTTGGCGATCCGCTTTGGTGCCTAACCTATGTTCCACCTGCCGACCCACACGCAGGGCAGCCAATGCGCGGCCCTCAGCGTCACCAAGGCGGTCTGCCCACTGCAATGCTGCAAGACTAACGCCAAATGCCTTACCAGGCGCATTACTAGGAGTGCTATGGATATCAGAGGATGCAGGAAATGATAGAGTGCTCGCCCGCATACATGGATCCTCGAGAGCATGACTGATGCCTGAATGACCAGCAGCCTGCGCCTGTTCAGATAAGATCGGATGTATAGCTGGCAAAAGACGATTGACATAGTCGATAATCAAAACCAAGGCCTCTTGGTGCAGACAAATCTTAAACACGGAGAAAAAGATAAGGAACCATTTGAAGTATAAATAAATTTTATAAAATAACAAACAAAATTCAATGCTAATTTATAAGTGGAATTTTCAATAATAAATATAATATATAATTATTATTATAAGATGAATAAGCACGCCAGGCATATAAATGGATTTTTTACCCAGAATTTAAACCATTTTAAAGATAGAAGCTAGTTATTCTAATTGGGAGCAAGAGAAGAGTTAGTAAATAAGATTATATCTGGAGAGATTAACAATGATTCTAATCAAAAAGATTAAGTCACTTATTTTAGTTTGATTTGAGAGTATAATCCTGTATCTTCGCAATGAGAACTAAAATACTTACATCTGTTAGATCTAGAATCCAAGAAGTTGATTTCAGACAATATTAAGTTTGAAAGTGGCCTTTTGTGTGGTCGCAGTCTACTTTCGTTATATAGAAGTTTTTTGACCTTGTTTACGCAACTCGGTCATATTGGTAGGAATACTTAGAGGAGCGCACCTATTCCGGAGTCCATTGTATGCATCATCATTTCCAGAGTAGGACCGTGGACGTGATATATTCGCAGACGTTTCGCCGGCATCGTCAGTGAGTCGCGCCATTCGTATCACCATATTACGACTCGTCCTTTGATAAAACGTGTGGTAAACAATTATGATATCTACCCTTCTGCCATGGCCTATTCACATTTCCTATATCCATCATGTCTTTTCTGTCACAATTTTTACCGTGCTTACTTTTAATGTAGTGTGGTGTGCTCCTTTGAGCGGCATTCATAAAAACCCTTTACACTTCACACTGTCGTTATCACCCCTTCACCCTTGTGTTGGGAATGTTGACCATAGTCTGTCATATTGTTACTTAGTCCTTTCCTGGGTCCTATCAAAGTCTCCCTCTTGCCCCATCGAATCCGTCTGCTATCTCCCTGGTACATATAGTTGACTCGACCCCTGCCTCAACATCTGTGCTATTCGAGGCGTAATTCGTCCATCCCTTGCACCTGGGCGATAAATTAGACGCTAAAGCCTCAGAGTAAGTCTCATGGTCATGCCTTTGCTACATGGACCACCTCTCTTGTAAAACCTACTGTCAGCCAACTAGCTCCAATCTCCGCCTCGTCTATCCTGTATCTATTCTAATACCAAGTATATGACTTGCAATGCCCTAGTTGCTTGTGTGCCAAACACAAATGTTATGGTTCAACATTGAATCTAATCAAAGCAAGCAGTACCATAACATTTGTGGATTAGCACACAAGCAACTAGGGCATGGCAAGTCATATACTTGGTATTAGGAATAGACAGGATAGAGGAGGCGGTGATTGGAGCTAGTTGATTGACAGTAGGTTTTACAAGAGACGTGGTGCATGACCATGAGACTTACTCTGAGGCTTAAGCCTATAATTTATCGTCCAGGTGCAAGGGATGGACGAATTACGCCTCGAAGAGCACAGATGGGGGGCAGGGGTCAAGTGAAATACATGTACCAGAGAGATAGCAGACGGATTCGACGGGGCAAGAGGAAGACTTTGATAGGATCCAGGGAAGGACTACGTAAAAATATGACAGACTTTGGTCTAATTCCCAGCACAAGGGTGAAGTGGGTGATAACGACAGTGTGTAGTCTAAAGGGTTTTAATGAATGCCGCTCGAAGAAGCACACCACACTACATTAAAAATAAGCACGGTAAAAATTGTGACAGGAAAGGCACGAATGGCGAGACTCGCTGACGATGCCA